CTGCTGCTTACTGATTCAGGTTGTCCAGGCTGCGGTGCAGCAACAGATGGAGGGTGGTTGTAGTTTTCCTCCTCTTTGGCCTCTTCTCCAGGAACAGAAGGAGACTGAGGAGGTGCTGATGTTTGGTTTGTACTCTGTAGACAGACAATAGCCGAGAGATAGGGAGTTACCTCTCATTTATAAACTTATTTCTATTCAGCTGTATACTAAGCTGTACTAAGGAGAAATCATAAAATTTGATAGAAATGGTATTCTAAGTCATTAAAACTAAATTAAAATGGGCTAATTAGACGGCACTGCATATTGTCCTGAATTAGATATTCCACCCTGACTAGAATCAGAAAGCAACCTTTTGTCTGCAAAACTGGAAAATAAGAAATAGCCAGCTACTGCTGCTGCAGACACTGAAATGGACTTTCTTTCAGCCCACTTAACCGGCACTCTACACTCTACTGTTACAGGCCAAGCTCACAGCTTGCCCCACAATTCTTTTAAATGCCAGGATGTCAAAGGCTCTCTTCTCACTCACTGAAGGATCGGCTTCTCTCCATCCATAGGTGAGGTGACCTGAAATGGGCACATGAAAATGAACCAGATGTTAAAAAACTGCCTGTGGTGGGAAATCCCATGGAACAAGTCAAGCGAAAAGGAGAGCATTTTCCTTTCACAACATCACTCCAGGAGCAAAAGTTCTTTCACACAGCAAGCAAGAGAACAGGACAATGTCCTAGGCTGTGTCTACGTTTCAGCCTGTTTGGTCAGGTAATAAATAAGAAACTTGGTTAAGAAAATACAGATTTTTCTTTAGCAGTCAATGCTTCTGCTTCACCCAACAGCTAAAGCAGCTTTTTTCTCATCTCTTTCCTATTACTTTTTTTTTTTTTAAATAAATTGCATGCACTAATTCCCATTAGCTTGCTGAAAACACTTGCCCAGAAAATCTTCCCCAAAATCTGCCTTAGCTGTGACAGTTCTACTCTGAAACAGCACAGAAACAGGTCCCGGGTTCAGGAGCATACACAAACTGTTTTGGAGTTTGCACTTTAATGCCAAGGGAATCACTATTTTAGCCTACAGTAAAGTGTCAAGCTAGAGAGTCAAATCCTTTAATGACAGAATTTAGAAAAACAGAAGCTTTCCCACAATCCTGGAGAGAATAGCACAGTTTTTAGGAAGACTTTGGGAAGCTGTGCCAGTCTGTATTTTGGAAGGTGTTGATCAAACCAGCAAACTGAGAAATGACACACTCCACTGCCACACACTATCCCGTGGAGGGAACAGAACCCCTGCAGGTTACATTTCAAATGTCATCGACACCTTGTGTCTAGAGATACTCCCTTTTTTAGGTGAAGCTGTTGACAGGAACTTTACCAAAACTAGTGGCATCTCAGTGGTGTTTTTGTTTTACAATCAATTCAGTCCCTTAAGGAAGAGCACAGCAATACAAAAGCCAGATAATGCTACACCCAGGAAAAACCTCTACTTACGTGCCAGATGGGTCAAATAATAGCCGGAATAACCCATAGAATAGACAGTGCAAACTGCAGCAGCGATTGGCTCAGCCATTTTAGCAGTGTTGTGCAAGTGCTGTGCTCCAAGAAGAGAATAAATGATACCCCTGTTCACTGAGAACACACTGAGCAGGAGGATACTTCTGCAACGTGCAAGCAAAGATTTGGTCTGATCACTGACGCCTTCTGTGCACCATTGACACCACAAAGACATGGCAACAATCCCTTGACATCACAATAGCAGCCTCTCTATGTTGCTTTGTGAATTTATGCAGAGCAACAGGACAACAGCAAACACAAAAAGAGCCTGGAGAGTTCTGTTACAGAGCAGCATAAAATACCCTTGTATTTCAAAACCTGCTGCTCAAAGGTTCCAAGAGTAACTCAAACAATGCACCAAGCTCTTGTACCCTGTACCCCACGCTGAACACTGAGAAGGAACCAGGATGTGACCAAACCAAAGGAAACATGACCTTTGACTACTTATGCTTCTGACTAAAAATGAGAACGCTTGTTCCAGTAACCAACCTGCTGCACACATACCAACCTGTTGCTGCCTTGCTATGGCATCTCAAAGTAGCATCTAGGGCCTGTGAGTCACTTCTGGGAGCTTTCCTGGGCTCATCTGTGAGCCGCAGGGATGGAGCTGGAATGGTCAGAAGGAAAGGAAGCAAGAAATTTAAAACAGAATGTGGGAAAACTTAGAAGGTGGTGGTAGGAGGAAACCAGTGGGCCAAAATGGATAAGTCCCATCAAAGGTGGGAGCTACGAGGCAGAGGCCAAAGAGATCAGGTGATCGGCAGGCCTCAGGCAAACAGCAAAGCCACAACCACTCCAAAGTTTGGTAGCATCCTTCCCCCTCCTCTTGCTTTGAAACCAGTTTTCTTCTCCCTCCTGAGTTTTACAGCAGGTGGCTGGAAAAATCACCTGGGATTTCCTTTCTCAATAAAAATAAAAAGAATAGAGAGAGATCTGGGCTTTTGCCGTGTGTCTAGTTTTGAATCCATGTTAGCATTTTTTAATAGCTCTACAGAAGTTCTTTCCAAGCTTTGGGAGTTTTCCAGCCGCAGGACCACCACTGGTCAGTGCATGAGCCCACAAATTGCAGTGGAGAGAGCAGCTGGTCAAACTCAGACTGTGACTTCTGGGAGGTTGGGTATTGTCCTAATGCAAATGCTCTGTGTATGTCAGGCTGAAAGTTGGGACAATCCTCAAGAAATGCTTGATTAGATGCATGTGACGTAAAACTTCTTTGGGTCTACAGCCATGACTTTTCCCACTTACTAATATCATAACCTTGGAGCTTTAAAATTTCAGTGTGACACTGAATTTTCTTCTAGATTGGGTATCAGGAAATGGTTGCAAAGACACATGCCTTAGAAAAAACACTCCCAAAGCCCTGCTAATCACACATCATCCTTCGTTCAGAAAATGCACTGTTTCTTCAAACTAAAAGAACAGAAAACTCTAGCAGCCTGCTCACATATAGCAGCTTGCAACCCATTCTATGCCCTGCTTTCTAAGTTGTACTTCTTAGCATATGTAGTTGCTCCAAGGCACAGTGAAATGGAGACAGAACATCCACTTGGGAGGAACAACATGGCTTTGTGCTCCAGCCTGAAAGCTGGAACTCAGGAGTCCATGCAACAGTGCCTTGAGATGGAACGAACAGCAACCAGGGAATGCAGCTGGGGGTGACTGCTGGAGGTCAGCGAATGGCCCAATGAATTGCACAGAACTAGCAGAGAAGGCACTACTGGCATGAGACCTGTAATAATTTCAAAAAACATCCCCCATATATTTGCACATTTATTGGGTAGTCCCAGGGCTCCTCTGTATGTATGTCTGTACCTCTGCACTTACTACTTTTTGGAAACAGTCAAATGGCCAGGCTTCGCCCGCCAGCAGGAGCTGATCCAGCCTGGGAATGTGACTGGCTGTGCTGACGTACAGAGGCTCATGGTTTCTCAGGTGAAGCCAAGGAGGAGTGGGCTGAAAGGGGCTGGCACTGCTGCTGCTTTGCCAGAGAGCCCTGGCTAGGTAGGGGATGGCACCCACTGTGCTGCGGGCTCTTTCTCCTACCGGTAGTGGATCAAGGGTTCAACTTGATGATCTCGAAGGTCCCTTCCAACCCAGCTGATTCTATGATTCTATGATTCTAGAACTGTGCAGTGCTTTTTAACAAGGAATGACAACTTGCGGGAAAACAAAGGGGGGTTGTTTTGCGGCGTTTCTGTCCACACTCAGGCCACCTTCAGCAGAGAGCTCTGGCTCCTGAGTGGTGGGAGGCGTGGGGCACTTGGCTAGGCTGCACAGGCATGGCAGTCCCAGGCAGCACTTCTGCTCACTCCTCCATCACTGAAAACTTCAGGAAAATAAAACTCTCTCACATTGTAATTAGATTGTAATTCTAATTGTAATTAGAAAGCAGGCATTACTTTATTCTGGCATCGGGTGTGGGGGATCACTCCTCCCAACACGTGCACACCCAGGCATCTAAAACACTAGTTTATATCTATGTCACTAATACATATTCACTGTATTTCCTGAAACTCTTGCATATAGGGTGAGCATTCTCACAAATTGTTTTATATATTTAAATTACTTCTCAGAACTTAGTTACATTAGAGTAGGGGTCTCTTGAGAGTTTCTGATGGTCATTTGGGGAATATCCCATCCCTCAAATTATCCTTTTATGGTCATAAGGCTCCTAAAACCAGTTTCTTCTCCTTGAATGCATTCCAGCCATGTGGTCTGGACAAGATGTACCTTCTTATCAGGTCTACAGTCTTGAGGCTGAGATACCCACTTCCACACGTTAATCACTGATGTCGGTGAATATAGGTGTATGTCATTCTGGAAGCTATGGCACCTCTGGAAATCTTTGCCACATTTCCCACTGGCAATGTTTTCTCTTCCAGGACTTCAGCCAGCATCCCATCATGGCCCTGTGGCAGTTGTGCTTTGGACTGTGGCCACTCAGGTCCTGAAGATCGCCAGGATGAGGGTTCTTGCAACGTCTCTGGTCACCCCACTCCAGTGCTTCATGATCTCACAGGGGTTTTGATTCCTAAAGCTCTCTAGTTCCAGGAGATGCCACTGCCTCACCCTCCCACCAGGAAGTGCAAAGAAGCACCTGTCCCCATCCCCTTGATGCCTTCCCCAGAGGCACCAGAGTGTGCTCTGAGGTGCCCTGATATTTTCTCTGCTCCATACTAAACCAGCCCTAGCTCTCAAATCCCTGCCTTCCTCTCCTGAGGTCCTCTGGTTTGTCAACCAGTCTCTGGGACCCCAAAGAGGATGTAGCGCCTGGATGAGATCTGACGGATGCTGAGCAGAGGACATCACCCTTGAGCCTTCTGTCTGGGGGAGAAAGAGTAAAACAATTGACTCTCAGTGCAAGGAACCAGGGGAGCCCAAAGGGCTGGCCAGCAGCACCGGGGCAAGGGGAGAGCCTGTGGGACTTTGTGTTGCAGCCTGCCAGGGAGGCATGAGGTGTTATCCAATGAACCCTCTTGCCACATGTGCCTGGAAACATCTGCCCCAGCTAAAGGTGCCCCTGGCAACACACAGACGAGGCCTCAGTGACTGTTACAAAACACAAGAGAAGAGATGGGGGAGGGGGCAGTGGTGCTGTGGTAACCCCAGACCACAGAGCTGCTGAGGAGAGCACAGTGGGTGAGGATGGCCCACTATGATATCACTTAGCAATGGCTGTGACATTTCCAAGCAACGGATTGTGACCCAGCATCCCTCGCTGCTTATAACCGTGCATCGAGCTTCACCCAGCCAGCTCATTCTGGGACGCCAGCTGAGCAAGTTTGTGAAGTCTGGAGTGGTGAATAACACCTTTGGTGCTGGCGGTGTGCTCAGGGAATTGCTCCTTGAAGCTTTCAGTACTGGCCCAAACACGAATTTTTCCCTGGCCCTGCCCAGGCAGGCAGGGCACCCTGGTAGGGGGCAGGCTCACAGCCATAGAGCTGAGCTGGGTGGGTACAGCTCACCCTGGGGCCCTTGGAGGGTTTCTTCCTTGAGGAACCTGGGCATTTCTTCCACCACTCCTTGGGTCAGCTGTGGCAGTGGCAGTGAGAGAGCTGGACATCCCCAGCTTCACCCAGCCTAGTGCAGTGAGTGGAGAGCATGGCCATGGAGCTGGAAAACTGCTGCCCCGTCTGCCTGGACAGCTGTGAGGAGCCAAGCTACGTGCTGCCATGCCTCCACCAGTTCTGCTACCCCTGCATTCAGCAGTGGGCTGAGAGCAAGCCCGAGTGCCCCCTCTGCAAGAGAAGAATCCTCTCCATTGTGCACTCGGTGCGGGCGGATGACGACTTTGAAGAATATGTCCTCCCATCCCCTGCAGCACCATCAGTTGTTGACCACCAGGAAGGAGGTCCTTCTGGATATCCAGCTGCCCACAGACCTGCAGCAGTAGCACAACAGTCTGTAGAGAACCAGCTGTCCAGGGCTCTTCCGGGTGGCCTCGAACCACGCACCTGGGCAATTATTTTCAGGGACCACCCACCTCTCCTCCAGTCCCTGCAGCCCTGGGTGCATCAGGAGCTGCAGCTGATCTTTGGGAACCAGCATGCATGGGCATCCATATTGGAGGACATTGTAATGTCCATCCTGGGCCTCTTTGGGCTGAATGGAGAATTCCTGGTCCAGCTGCTGGAGCCCTTCCTCCAAACCCATGAAGCCACATTTGTGCAGCAGCTAATTGGTGTTGCTGTGCAACAGTGCAGTGTGGAAGCCCAACGTCTGCTGGGCCTGGAGGACGACCACAGTGCTGAGGAGCAGGAGGGTAGCCCAAGAGCTGCCCCCAGCCCCTCTAGCTCCCAAGGACACTTTCCCACATGTGGCCCAACCCCCTCCGGCAGCCCTGCTGGAGCTGACGAAGAGGAGTACCCACGCCCAAGCATCTCAACTGCTGCTCTTTGTGGGGGTCCCAGCAGCACCCCCAGTGCCCCTATTCCCAGCAATGGGGAGCAGGAAGAGCTGCATGAGGCTATGGGGGAGGCTGTGGCGGGTACCTCCACTCCCAGCTGGGACAGAGACCGCTCACCTCAGGGACCATGGCGAGCCCTGAAGAGGAAGGCTGGCAGCTCCCAGGAATCTTCCAAGCCCAACAAGACAAAACGTTGCCGGCAGCCCTAGAAGAACACCTCAGGCAGTGTTGAAATCCTGGCCAGGGCAGCAGCTG